GATCCAAATAATCAAATTTTTACTCTTCATAAAACATTCATATAACCAGGTCACCACTGTGCTGACATTATTCAACAGTTATGACTCCTTAAATATTTTCTACTCAGAACTAACAGAACATTTGGCTCTTTAGAGCTCTGACTCTTTGTCAGTCTGGCTATAGAGCTAGTAGAAACCTGTAGATGGTCCTGGTTAACACTGGTTAACCAACGTCTGGACAGACAACATATCATTTATCCGTTTCAACCCTGCTGCTGCCACACAAACAAAAAAAAAAATGGAGAATTTTTCCTTTTTATTTATAATTTATTTTTCATTTATTGAGGTCTTCATGTTTTTCTATTTGTATCTAACTGAACTCCTTTTGTTATGGTTTTTTAACTTGCCTGAACAATTCTGTTTCATATATTAATTTTTATTCATCTAGATGGTTTTAAATGTTTTCAATACCGTAACACAGTAATTTCCCAACACTTGTGATAAATGAAATACTTCTTAACTTATATCAAAATTAAAACTACCCAAAAATGTTTTAATTGTCGTATTATTTTTATTATTGTTGTTAGTGTAATTATTATTACCATTATTATTCAAATTTTATGGTTGATGAGTCAGTGAAACTCACTTCTGTCTGACAACCAGACTGCTCTGTACAAACCGGCTACACGTGACACGTTTGAAGCCTTATGTTATTGCGAAGCCTGCTAACCAGGGGCAGATCTAGAGGGGTGGCATGGGGGTGGCATGTGCCACCCTAACATGATCTCTTGCCACCCCTAGTACCACCCTTGTTTTGCATATGACAGTGTTGTTTATAAACACAAGATAGCATTAACACTTTGACCCTAGCTACAGTTAACACTGACTATAAATTCTAAAATTGAATATATTGCATAGTGTTATTAAGCCTCTGGGGTCCACGGACACACTGCACCTCCAAATCAAGTGATCGATTTAAGCTGACAGAAACATGCCGCAGCCACGCTGAGTCTCTATTTCAGCTTGTGTTGAAAGTTCGGATTTCAAAGTATACACCAGTTTTAAATTTTAATGACAGACCACTACATCCAGAATTATAATAAAAGAAAAATCTAAGCTATGCTTTTTCTGAATATTATCATCATATATATTGCGTAAGAAATGGTTTAAAAAACATTTTCTATGGACAGTGTGAAAACAGTAAAGAAAGAAAAATAGCCACCTATTTCGTATTGGTGGAAAAATGTACCATGTCGACTAATTAAAAAAAAAAAAAGGCAACACGTGGGATTTGGTTGTTTAGGAAGAGAGGAAAGTGGGAGTGATGGCAGTGAGAAAAAGAAAGAGAGAGCAGTTTTGAGATGTGTGAGATTTTTGACATTGAGCTTGGGGTGTATAGTTAGTGTGTTGTGTATTAGTTGTTTTGTTTTGTGTGTCAGTGAGGGTACTAATCTCCCTTTGTGATGGAATATCACAAAGTGAGTTAAGCTCGCAATATCTTTTTGTTGAGTTGCTTACAGTCTGGCCTGAGTCTCTGTAACAATGAAATGCCATTCTATCTTAGATTTTTTTTTCTGTTTTTTATTTATTTCAGCTTTGTAAGGTAAGTAGAGCTGGCAGGCAGGTTGTTCACTACCTTATGAATTACAGTAGTACAACCCAAAATTAGTAAATGCATGTACTAGGTTTTCAGGGTCACTCTGAGAAAGGATGTTTCTAATTTTAGAAATATTGCACAAATGGAAAAAATCAGTCCTACATGTTTATTTAATATGCATTCTATGACATTGTGAATTTTATCTTATCTCCTAGTCAAAATGACCATTTACATGCAATCTTTAAAGCAGTTTTAAAGCTAATATTGGATTTAAGACTTACACTGTAATTTGTACATTTTCTTCATAAACATCTAGTATGAACAAAAATCTACTAAAATGTGCTAGTGCTTGAGGTCATTTTCTTTGAACAGATCACCCACCCAAAAAATGTGACTAGTTCTTTAAAGATTTGCTTTTTCTTTTTCTTTTCTTTTTTCTTTTTAGAATAATATAATAAAGATTTTAAATAATCATCAGTCGAAACATTTGAAACCTGACCTGAGAGTTTCCAGTATACAGCTTTTTGGACTCTTTACTCCAGCAGATAGAAGCTGCACTCCTGAATCCTGCAGGTCACAGTTACTCAGGTCCAGCTCTCTCAGATTAGATGACTGAGCGCTGAGAACTGAGGACAGAGCTTCAAAATTTCTCTCTGGGAACTTACAGTGACTCAGTCTGGAAAAAAAACAGATTAACAAAAAATAAATAAATAAAAAAAACTTTTTGTGTAATTGTAATGCAGTGTTATTCATTTAGCATTATTTAATCGTTTTTTTTTTTTCAGGAATTCTTAATTTATTATCAAGATCGCTGACCTTTATTGGCTCAAACATTTCATTTGTTAATTCTGTCAGCTGATGAAAAAAAATATAGATTGGTCTGACCTGAGAGAATTCAGTTTACAGTTTGGATTGTTTAGTCCAACAGAAAGACGCTTCACTCCTGAATCCTGCAGGCTGGAGTTACTCAGATCAATCTTTCCTAGACTAGAGGACTGGGAGCTGAGAACCAAGGACAGAGCTTCACAGGTTCTCTCTGAGAGGTTACAGCCAATCACTCTGAAAAAAACAACAACAACAACACTCTTTAAGCATAATCAGGAGTAAGGAAATACGACATTTAGCAATATCAAATGTGTTTTTTTCCTTAATCATTAATTGATCATGACAGTTGACAAGTGTACATACAGTCATGGCCAAATGTTTCGAGAATCACATAAATATTGGAAATTGGAAAAGTTGCTGCTTAGGTTTCTATAATAGCAATTTGCATATTCTCCAGAATGTTATGAAGAGTGATCAGATGAATTGCATAGTTCCTTCTTTGCCATGAAAACTAACTTAATCCCAAAAAACACCTTTCCACTGCATTTCATTGCTGTCATTCAAGGACCTGCTGAGATCATTTCAGTAAACGTTTTGTTAACTCAGGTGAGAATGTTGACGAGCACAAGGCTGGAGATCATTATGTCAGGCTGATTGGGTTAGAATGGCAGACTTGACATGTTGAAAGGAGGGTGATGCTTGAAATTATTGTTCTTCCATTGTTAACCATGGTGACCTGCAAAGAAACGCGTGCAGCCATCATTGCATTGCATAAAAATGGCTTCACAGGCAAGGATATTGTGGCTACTAAGATTGCACCT